GAGATGTATAGATCCCTCGAGACGCTGGGTTCAATTCTACATTCGCTACCTGCCGGACGGTTTCCTTAAAGAATTTATGAAGCGGGAAGAACAGCGGTAGTAACCTTGAGTCACATACAAGAGGTCCTGGGACCGACTCCGAGCCGAGCTCTTTCCAGTGCTATGTTAGAAAACTTTATAGCTACTTTATAGCTTTTTGAGAAGAACAAAAGCACGAACCCGCATTGGAGTCGCCCCAACAACTTCTTGCTTATGAGTCAAAGTCACCACCGTTGCTCTTCCCTAGTTCATAAATTCTTGAAGGGAATTGTCCGACGGGTAACGAAAGCATTTGAACGAATCGTCTCAAGGCCAGTGTGTAGGTATACTTACGATTTTTGATGGCCGTACTGAGCAATTGACCTTTCCTTAGAAACTGTTATCCTGAATGCTATTTTTCCCTCCCTTTCCAGGATTGCAATCATTCTATGCGATGATTGTTGAGAACGTTGTTGGAGAACAGATTGTGAAGCCTACGGATACTTTGTGTAGGTTTTTTTCTTTGTTTACTTTCTACAATTCCTAGATTTACAAGTCGTTCTTCTTCTTTATGGACCCCCTTTTCTCTTTAACTTGCTTTCTGAATCCTAATCATTTCTGATTCTAGTACCTTACCATGCCCGACCAGAGTGGGCACAGAGAGTTAAAAAGGAAAGCGCTCAACTCATAAAACATTTCCACTTGGACCAACTGGAGCAGATATCGCATAGCTCAGGTCGGAAGAGAGCAGGTGGTGAGTCGCTGAGCCTTTCTTTACATCAAAAGTTCAAGGCTTCACTGATATCGCTTGCAAATTTGGACGTTTTAGTCCCACTTTCGCTAATAAAACAGTTTACCCTTTGGTGAAAGTGGGCCAAAGGAGAATGCCGCCGTCATCTTACGCAAAACACAAAGATCATAGCCGCTGTCGAATTTTGACAGATAACCAGGCCTATTATACTTTTGCGGATGGTCAAACCGCACTAAACTGGTCTTTGAGGATAGAACGCTGACTCGCACTTTTAGATCCATCAAGTGTTTACATGCATAGACAAAACACGCATTCAAAACTGCCTACGATTCTCCATAAAATTCGAATTCTGTATGGCTTCATCCAAAAAGAAATTGCGAATTCATCATCATGCGATCAGCTTTTCCTTTTTCTATTTTATTTTGATCAAGACTCGCAAGAATCTTCCCCATCCTTTCATTTACAGATGGCACATCGCAAGGCGGACGAGCGAAGGTGACGAAGCCTGATGCGTCCCAAGTTGATGCTCGTGAATTGGCTGAAAAAGGGGAGGTGAGTTTTACTCAGTTTCATGTAATGAAGTATCGAATTGCTTTGTTGATTGATTATCTCTTGAATAGCTCTACGCGTTTTGTCTGACGTAATTTGTTTTCATTGGTTTGTATGAGGCGCTTATGTATACTTAGTGGAACGCATTCCTTTTTTTGAGCATTCATCGTCTGTCTTATACGAACCATTTTTATGGACCCCATAGAAGGAGGAAGACTAGCACGCCAGAAGCATGTAGCTGTTCACAGGGAAGGAGATATCCCAGCAGCTGTCGGGGGACAAGATTTGGTTTAAAATAAAATAAAACAGGTCACAGTAGAAGGATTCCAAACGAATAGAGATGACCCAACACCAGCTGAGGCAAGCTTTGCGTAGAGCCTATACTACACCACTGGCCATGGTGTCCTTTAGTACCATGTGCGGAATTATGTAATAGTATTACAATATTGCTTACTTCATTTTTTTTACTAAATTTTGGTTTTTTTTTCAGCTGGACAGCCTTACAGTAGCTCAATTGCGTGCAGTGATTGAAGAGCATCTCGCATGTACAGTGAAAAGTGGCACAAGGAAAGCCGAACTGGTGTCAATGCTTAAGAAACATTTCCGTGTTTAGACATTTACTCGTTTCACATTCACACATTTAAATTTACACTGCATTCCTACCTCATTTTCTGCCTCACTAACCTGTATGATTTTCATGATTTTTGTACATTTTTCAGACTGAATGAAAATTTTTAGAAGAATCTATTAGGCAGGAAAGTCCCGCAAAAAGTTGGGCACAGTAAAAAAAGTGCTGGGCGTCGATCTTTTGGGCCTGCGCCACGCATTCGGATTCAAACGGATTTGAATTGAATACGTGTCTGGCTGATGCGTAGATTCAAGGGGCTAACCAGTGTGATTCCGCACGTATCCGTTCGATACTGGTAGGAGTTACCTTATCCGGAGCGGTTGGTAAACCTAATTTGCTGCATGTAGCTGTGACGCCATTTGCCAGTTCTCCATTCACGCTCGCTAGAGCAATAAATCGTATTTATGCACCCATAGTGTGCAGCATGCAGGTAATGGGTGTGGCATACATAGTTGCCACAACGTCCAGCGCGGCTTGCAAATGGCAGCACACATACAAGTTGCCGCGCTGGCGTCAATTTGTTAATGTGTGTATTAGAACAGATGATAGATTGAACCTTGCGACAATCTTTAAACGTGAATGCTTTATGATTACAAGCTTGCGGAGAATGAAGAAACAAAGGCTATTTCCTTGTTCCGAAAAATTTCACATGAATTTCTTATGCAGCAATACAAAGCGCCTCAATTGTGCTGCATTTGCAGTTGGCGCATCCGCAATCGGAATCGTTCTGGCACGGCTCTCCCAGATCGTAGATGGGCTCACCGAGGCCGTTTCCACTGTAAATAAATTAGGGAAGCTCTGCATAGAAAGGTGTCTACTCTGTTCACCCATGCATTAGGAAGTACTCACGCAGGCCATATTGACAGTCTGGCAAAAAGTCATATTCGCGAACACGGCACCCCATCGCAAATCAAGCTGTAGCCTTTCGCTGCCGCACCATCTGGAATTCTCTAGTTCCAAATAGTTGAAGTCTGTGGAGTGTTTCCCGCTAGTTATAATAGACCGGTGTCATTTATTTTCGAATCGAGTGATCGCGTAGCAATCCGCGGTCGCTGTCGCGTATCAAACGAATCGATCCATTCGCTAGCGAATCCCTCGGTTCGCAAAGTCTGACATCGGCCTTATCTGGCTAGAGTGACCAATCACAGCATGTGGACGATAGAAAACTTCTTTGGTGAGCAAATTATCGAATCCTACACCAGCTGTCGCAATTCGTCGAACCACATATCGCTAGCCTAGGTCGCAGTTGCTTTTTCAGTGAAGTCTCGCTCAAAAATATCTCCTCACCCACTCCGCTGCTTTTGCCTTGTCCAATTTTATTGCATCAGTCGCCCATATATTCTCGCCAAGACCAGGACTTTCGGAGTTAGAAGAGTGTTCGAATTTGCATTTCGCAGCATGTCTCATTGCGCTGGCTTCGACATCGCAATCGTATACTTAATATCCGCCGGAAGTAACATACTGACAATCGCTGCAAGGTCAACCGTCGCGCTCGCCCTTTTCTAGAAATTGTGCGACACCTTCCTTCCCATTGCGGTCCTCCACCGCCCTCTATCAGTCTTAGGATACTACCTCAATAGATTAACCCTCTTCCATCATTGATCACCACTCCCGGCACCCCTCATGACTGTTACTATATTTGATGCTGGAGCAACTCAACATACCCAAAACTCCGCCCCACTTTTCTATCTGTTCATTGTTTGAAAATTTCCATAATAATGTCAACAGGGCGGAAGTGGTGCAGTGACAAGTGGCGCGCTCACCACGCGAGCGGTCCGGGATCAAATCCTGGGTCGTGAGTCGCCCGGGCCAACCAAGCCTTCCATCCCTCCGGGGTCGGTTAATTGGTACCAGACTTGTCTGGGAGGATAAAAAACACTGACTTGAACATCGGCTGGCCCCCGCAAGTCATTGTATAGGCCACATCGCATTCAAATGCCACTGCGAATGTACAAATGGAAGTAGAATGCGTGCCGCATCCCAAAAAGGGATTGATCAACGGCAAATGCTTTATCCTTTTTTTTAATGCAATTCCCAAACTTGTGAAGAAAAAACTCGAAAAAAACAATCACCTAAGTAACGACCGCCCTTCCTTCGAGAGAGTTGAGGCATGCCGTTGACCCTCGAATTGCTGTCTTACGAAGCATCTAAATTTGCAACCATCTTGGCGCATGTTCGCGCGGCCATCGGTAGCATTTCGGAACTGTGAGGCTGACCTTTGGCTTTTCCTTCGGGCTACATATGACTGAAAAGGCCAATTTCATGTTAATGAACTAGACCCATCGTGGCCCAAACCTAACCTGAATATTGTGTTTTCGAGAAAACCTGCCTGACTTTCGTCTGTCATTCCACTTTCAGGCTGAGCACTGCAATCCTGAATCAATTGAGCTCACCTCATTCATTTTCCACAACATAAAAGAATGCGTACCCTTTGGAATCGATTCCGTACTAACAGCGGGCGAACTAACGGCGTGCTTGTCACATAAAACACCAATGGCTGTTCTGAAAGACAAGATCGACCAAAGCCAATGCGATGAGCATCGCACTTGCAAGTCTGTCCTTTCGTCCACATTGGTTCGTACGGTAATAAATGACTGAAACACCGGGAAGGCGGAGTTCAGTTGAAGTTTTTTCCTTCACTCTTTCATTTCAACTTTCCGAGCCCTTGTCGAGAACTTGCGGAGCAGTTCGAATTGAGGTCACCAACATTCTTCAATTACTATAGATGTCAACAATTGCGGCAAGAATAAAATGAAAAGGATGGGGAAGATTCTTACGAAGCCCTTAATCAAAAATGGAAAAAGGAAAAGGTGATTGCAAGGTGCCGAATGCACTTCTTTGATATAATCACGAACCCCAGCAGCTGGCTCGGGGGTGATTACGAAGGCTGTTGACGGGAGAGCGGAGCGTGGTTGACTTTAGTAAGGTTCGCATCACTATAAAGAAACGTGCATAATTGAGTTTAAGCCTAAATACATGTACGTGGTGATTGATTTCAGCTTTCATTTGCGGCCCCCTACTTTGTGCTCGAATATTGTGGGCCGAAGCAGATCCATTACGAGCCGTGTAACTCCGCAAACAGGAGGTTAATCAGATAATTAATAAGGGGGCAAGTGGTCGTCATCAGAATACGGGCCGGTTTCAACCACAAGCGGGCGAAGGCTAACAAAGTGCAAAAAAGGTCATGGTATAATAGCGGCGCAGCGGCGCACAGACATGAAGCCTGGTAAGGCTTGGATCGTATCAAAAGAAGAGCCCACCCACTTCAAATTCGGGTTATGGTGATTAAAGCGAAGCATTACTATAAGATTGGGGGTTCATCCCACTCCGGTTGTGGGGACCTCGCTTGAGTACATGCCTACCCGGGCCGAAAAACAGATAAAAAAACGTTTGCGTAACGCGCAAAATCACACCTTTCGTTGCCTGCCCGCCCGTTGAACCTCCCAATAACCGCGACCGAAGCTTCAGCAACACACAGCGAGGTCCGTTTCCACACTGCTCTATCATCGCCATCCCAGCCGGCTCACCCATTTCAGCAATGACGTACCAGTTGATTTAGCAACGCACACCATGGAAAAGCTATAAGAACCGCACTCGAAAATGGAATACCTCATTCAAATGATATAAGCGGCATAGATACTTCCTACAGCTGTACGGGGCGGAGCACAGGATGAAGGGGTACTCAGGAGGATTGGCACCCACGAGAGCGCTGAATTAGCGCTCTTATACCACGAAAAGAAACCGCACCTCCGCTTCTTAGGCCCCCTGGACGACTGGCAATTTCGGCTGCATTGCATACATTTCGGCATATTTTGCATCAGCGCACTTTTCGCTAACAAGGTTCTCGGCTTTAAATGAGGGGGCGATTTTGGCGCGTTTTCTGCTGAAGCATGTCGGCCAGCTCAGAAGACCCTCGGCAGGCAAGCTCTCTGGATCGTCGTTCTTTGTGCTTCGCTTTCTTTGTTGGTTCAGTTCCGGTTTTGTTTCTGTATGAATACAAATAGAGCGGTGTCAACCCATAAGGACTTTTCCAAAAACACATCGCATTTTACGATCCCATCCAAATTAGTCGTGTTTGCAGAGAGGATCATGCTTTAGAAGGACATGAGAAGAATCAGATTCTGGGAAGTGGGAAAATTCTTTCTAAATTTGAGAGACATTTCGAGAGAAATTTTGTCGGTTCATCAGTACATAACATAGAATGTCTCGAAATTTTGAGGCAGGTTTCAACGTGCGTCGAGAATCAGCTTTGACGAAATCCTTTGAAAACAAAGGAAAGTTACTGAATTTTAATAAAACTTCAGAAATATCGCCTGACAATTCTCAGAACTAAGGAGGAGATTGATATGGAAGGCGAAATTTCCAGGCAGTCTTCATTATTGCTATTAGTATGAGCGTTCCTTTCTGAGGTATTGGTATTTAACCACAAGTTTTCTTGAGCAGGGCGGCTTAACGCTGGATCGGCTGGACAGGGTCAGGAAACAAGGATATTCGCGGCGATCATGCAGACATCGCTCCTGTCTGGTTGGCAGATGCGAAAACAACCCGCGCGTTCGGATGTAATGGTCAGGCGAGCTAATGAGGCCACAGGATCATCCGATAGACAAAGGGATGGACTTTGAGAGGCGTTATCAAGAAGGATCTAAGTGAAGTCATGGCCAAAGCAGACGAAGTCTGGACTGATTAAAGTGGCGACGACTGACAAAGACAGCGGAGGGGTGGCCCAGAATTGATTCAATGAGTCAGTTCATGAATCAACCCAAATTGTTTGAGAAGAAGAATCCGAACACCAAGCGAGCTAAATAGGAGCTTTTGTAATTGCCTGCGAGTGACACCGCGCCTATTTGACCATCAAAGCCATCTCAGTTTCAAAAAGATGGAAGCGGACTCTACTGCCGACCACCTCGTACCGTAAAGGTCGATATAAACATCTTTAATATCGTTTTAACTTTGCTGATGGTGAGAACCTTGTGGTGGTAATTAACTATGCAATATGCAGTGCATTTTTGCAGTTGATAATTATTACAAGAAAAGTTTTCTGCAATTCGAGAGCTTACGGGTCACTGTTAGTATCTTAGGTACCCTGATAGGGATAATTACTGAAATAGGAAACTGCGTGGTATCCTGATGGCTTATACTAAACAAGCTGTCGGTCAGCATTGCCGACGTCGTCGCCACACGTATAATGGAGCATAGCATCGACCGTAAGTGGGAGCTCGGTACTGAGTCGTCTTCCACAGGTTGCAGCCTCTAATTTTCGAATTTGTTCCATCCGACGGCTGTTAGTAAAAAAGAGCTTATAGGGACTGATATCCTCGATTTCAATGGATAGTGAAAGGATGGGAGTGGTTGAAAGGCCACGTGAGTGGTTCTATCGAGGGCTTATTTGCTCTGATCTGAACAATTACGCCCTTCCAATCTAGGGAACGTGTTGGTGCGGAAAAGGCCACAACATATGAAAGCAGGCAAACTCTCTTCTATTATCATTTGGGAAAGGTAAAATATCTGTCGTCGCCATCCTCTGCAAGAACGATCGGCGTCCCTGGATCTTTCACTCCAGAAATTGCAAATTTACGACTTGGCAACAAGCATCGTACAGATAAATGCCTCCCCTCACCCGTCTTTCTGGGCACGTAATACCAGCCCGCAAAGAATACTGTTTTTTCCAATGAATAATACTAGAGCCAAGTCAAAGTATTAGAACTGTCTATTGGCCTGACCGGCGTCTTAAGTCTTTTCAGAAGTTGTGAGTAGGAAAGGAATTTCCCGCTTTCACAACAAATAGTTGGGTGCATGAGTAATGGCTGATGCAATATTTGGTGACGAGCTGCCCGGAAACCATTTGTACTTTCCAAATAGAACTACGTCAAGGCTTTTTTCACATGCCTGTTCGCGTGGGGTTGATACAGACTTGAGCGTAGATAGCTGAAGTTGGACTTTAAACATCAGTATGGCTTTTAGCTAGTGAATTGCTGGCCAAAAAAATTGTAAATGGCATGGCAGGGAATTGAGTTATTCTCAACTTTATGTGAGTTCGATTGCATCATTTTGCTCCTCTACCATTTATCTGAATGAACTTTCTTATTTGACACTTTGGAAGTGCGCACAAATTTTACGTTTGGTGAGCTTGAGTGCCGTAAATTTAATGATAACTTATCAAAAAACTTTCAAAACAATAACAAAGTAAAACCTTTTCCACGGATCAGACATTTATTCACTTATCAAACAATTAGGACATTCTCCTCTCAGTCCCTTTTTGCAGTGCGCCATGCACTGTGCTTCCACTGCGTATCGTAGCACCAATTGAACGCGATTCATCATATTCACTGGCCCACTGGGCTGGTGTATAATCACAGTCTTAATATTTTCAAGCGCGTATATGGGCGCTCGAGGGTATAAAACTGTGA